CCCTAACTAGGCTCCAGCATGATCATGATTGTGAATCATCTTTTATCAAATTTTGTCAATTAAGAAAAAATACCAAAATTTTTTTTGGCGCTTCGCGCATTATTTCTATAATAGAATTTCTAACTATTTTCTCGTTTTTGACTTAAAGAAAGTGAGTCTTGATTTATCCTCTAAAAAACTGTATAGCTACTCATAAGTATTACAATACCAACCAAGCTGAACATGTGAATCCAACCTAGGAGCCTGATGTGAATCCATGATGTGAATCCAACCAAGGAGCCTGATGTGAATCCAACCAAGGAGCCTGTTGTGAATCCAACCAAGGAGCCTGATGTGAATCCAACCTATGGAGCCTGATGTGAATCCAACCAAGGAGCCATGTTGTGAATCCAAACTTGGAGCCTGATGTGAATCCAACCTAGGAGCCTGATGTGAATCCAACCAAGGAGCCTGTTGTGAATCCAACCAAGGAGCCTGATGTGAATCCAACCAAGGAGCCTGATGTGAATCCAACCTAGGAGCCTGATGTGAATCCAACCAAGGAGCCTGTTGTGAATCCAACCTTGGTGCCTGATGTGAATCCAACCAAGGAGCCTGATGTGAATCCAACCTAGGAGCCTGATGTGATTCCAACCAAGGAGCCTGTTGTGAATCAAACGTCCAAGGAGCCTGTTGTGAATCAAACCTTCGAGCCTGTTTTGAATCCAACCAAGAATGTGGCTCGGAAAAGAAATTCTTGTGACTGGCATAACCCCCTTCTTGACCTTTACTCCCTCTACGGCCGTCCCCCCTTTAGAATGATTCCCTGTTTTTGTGGGATATCCATGATTTCTGCATGATATCCGGAGGCTGCATCAAGACTCTACGGAGGCCGGTCTATGATTCTACGGTGGCTGCTCTATGTGCTACGCATGGATCAAGAGAAGTCACTATTCGTCCTCTATCCTACAAATTTTCTATTGCCCACGTGTTCTATGAGGCCCATAAACTCTGGGGTTTTAAATATCAGTTTAAAACAAAAAAAAACACCTCAAACTTTTTAAACTCTGTAGTTTTCTCACCGGAAATCTTTGTATTGGGCGAATACTTTATACTTTATATCTTTATGATTATGAAATTCGATCATAATTTTGAATTTTTACATTCATACTATGTCTATATATAAATATTTATGAAAATGTTCAGGTTATATTTTTAACAATTTAGATTTAAAAATAATAGGTTTTAATTTGAGAGTCAAAAACAGAAGACAATTTAATTTTTAATGTATTTGTTTAAGATGCGAATTTAAGTAAAAATCAGTTAATCTACCTTTTTGAATTATTAAATAATCTTGAAGGATATTATATGCCAATAAGGAATGTACGAGTACGACTAAGGGGTTACCCATAAAGGATGAGACAATGAAGACGACCGTATAATCTATAATTCTGTCGAACTGAACCTTTACTTTGTTCTTCGGACTTTTATAGGTGTACTAAAGTATTTGGCAAAGAATGTAAAATGTTGTTATGTTAGGAAAAAAAACTGCACGAATTTAGAAAAAAGGCGGAATAAAATTCGTACAATCGTCTCTGAAGTCTCATCCTTTCTGGGTAACCCTGTAGAAAAACTGGAAATGGTAAATGCACGTGTATACGTGCATGCAAGTATATTGCATTCAAGCATTTTAAGGTTTATACAATTATGAAATAACTTGAAGTATTTATTTAACAATTGCTAAAGTCTATGATGATTTATTATTTTTTCATAAATTATATGAACTTTTCTCCGGAATTACTTTGTCCTGGGACTGCAGATCTAATGAATGGAGAAAAGTAGCTCAACCACACTATTTATAAATTCTGGTCTCTAGCTTGGATTATATAGAGAGGGAGAATAAATGTATTCCTAAATCAAAGATATATTCGTTGATAAAAAATGTATCACACATGTTCTTCATTTTCTTTTTAAAAAACATCTGTTAAATTGTATAAAGAGGGTTAAATCTTTAGTTTAGTGAGGACAGGTGCAAAAGGAATAAATATAATCGGTTAGACATATCTACTATACCATAGATATCCAGGAGGAGGAGAGGAATATAGAATGCTAGATCAGATTCCCAGCGTTGTCCGGGAATTTTATTTGATCGAATTTGAAAAAAGAAATTCCGATTTTTGAAAAAAAAATTTATAGGTTAAGTCATCCCCCCGAAGGTACTCAAGAGTTCCCTCCAAAAATTGCAGTCCATTCGGTTCAGCCGTTTGGCCAGCTATAGCTGACATATAAATATATATACATATTGTTAATACCTACTCCATACAGTTTCTGGGAACGTATCTATCCAGATACAACTCAGATTCTCTTGACTATCAATATCAACCACACAAATTTACGATCCGTGATCAATCAACGGCACTACCACTGGGCGGGATCTCGTTAGCTATCAATATCTATCGGAAGCTTGCAACTATCGATCCCAAATCAAAGGGGACAAAACAGGGAACGATTACTCTCTCGCAGTAAACAGTACGGAGTTTGCTATATCAACTCGTGTATTTACTTAATTTAGCAAAGATATCAAGGAAGCTACACAAGGAACCCCATAGTATTTTATAATTAGCTAGTTACTTTACCAAAAATATCAAGTAAGCTACACAAAGAACCCCATAGTATTATATAATTAGTTAGTTACTTTAGCAAAGCTATCAAGGAAGCTACACCAGGAACCCCCATAGTATTATAAAATTAGTTAGTTACTTTAGCAAAGATATCAAGGGAGCTACACCAGAAACCCTATAGTATTATATAATTAGTTAGTTACTTTAGCAAAGATATCAAGGAAGTACACCAGGAACCCACATGGTATTATATAATTAGTTAGTTACTTTAGCAAAGATATGAAGGAAGCTACACCAGGAACCCTATAGTATTATATAATTAGTAGTTACTGTAGCAAAGATATCAAGGAAGCTACACCAGGAACCCTATAGTATTATATAATTAGTTAGTTACTTTAGGAAAGATATCAAGGAAGTTCACCAGGAACCCCCATAGTATTATATAATTAGTTAGTTACTTTAGCAAAGATATCAAGGAAGTACACCAGGAACCCTATAGTATTATACAATAAGTTAGTTACTTTAGCAAAGATATCAAGGAAGCTACACCAGGAACCCTATAGTATTATATAATTAGTTAGTGACTTTAGTAAAGATATCAAGGAAGCTACACCAGGAACCCCCATAGTATTATATAATTAGTTAGTTACTTTAGTAAAGATATCAAGGAAGCTACACCAGGAACCCCCATAGTATTATATAATTACTTTAGTAAAGATATCAAGGAAGCTACACCAGGAACCCCCATAGTATTATATAATTAGTTAGTTACTTTAGCAAAGATATCGAGGAAGCTACACCAGGAACCCTATTGTATTATATAATTAGTAGTTACTGTAGCAAAGATATCAAGGGAGCTACACAAGGAACCCTATAGTATTATATAATTAGTTAGTTACTTTAGCAAAGCTATCAAGGAAGCTACACCAGGAAACCCCATGGTTTTATTTAATTAGTTATGTTACTTTAGCAAAGATATCAAGGAAGCTACACCATGAACCCCCATAGTATTATATAATTAGTTAGTTACTTTAGCAAAGATATCAAGGAAGCTACACCAGGAAACCCCATGGTATTGCTTCCTGTAGTATAAATATATATGTATATTACACCTTTGTAAACACACAAAAGGGTGCCTGCTTGGTGTATCCTCATTGCATTATCATCTCATGTATGATAGTGTAAAGTATGCAGAGGTCACCGTAATAAACTGGAGCAGGAAGACGACGTTCTAAATTCGATCTGTTTATAATACGATTGCATTAAACAATGAGAGTTAAGAGTTAATGCAAAACAAAGGAATCCATAACAAAAAAGCTTGTTATTAGGAGTGGACGTCTAGACTCTATAGCTTCTATCCAATTTTTAAAAATTCAAGATTTTTAACTTTCAGAAATCTCTGAAACATCTGAGAAGTTTTATATAGTTGAAAGTATCATTCTCTTAAAAGTTAGGGTTTATTACAAACTATATCAATACAATGAAGACGACTTTCTATTTCAATTTTGATTTATACCAAGCTGTTAAAAAGCATGGCTACACGTAAACATAAAAGTCTATAGAAGCTGTCAATTAAAAAAGCTTTGATTACTTGTAAACTTGTAATCAAAACTTAAACAAAAAAGTCGTCTTCATTATAATGATATAATCGCGACGCCTACCACTGTACATTTGAAAAATATTGTATAAAGAAAACATTTTTAAAAATGAAATAATAGCAAACTTGCAGAGCATATTTTAGAAGAAAAAAAATTTAGACATTTAGATTGAGTCATTTTCTTATCCCATTGCAGTCTGATATTTCAAATTCAGATTATTTGATTTAACAGAATTTATATTGAATTATTTAAGTTCTATATCAGTGGGTTGCAAAGACATCTAGGGATAAGAAAGTCAGAGTCTGTTGTTTCAATTCCTATCATTGTACATTCGTCATTTTCAAGGCACTCATTATTAGAGTTTCTTCAAGAAAATTAAGTAGACAAATTTAAACTTTTTAATACAACCTGAGACGCAGTTATGATTATCTTTTATTCTGTAAATGAAAAATTTTACGTTAAAAAATATCAATTTTGCGATTTATTCAAAATATAGCTTTATAGAACATTGTAGAAAAATGGTATGCAGCTTATTTGAACTAAAGATTTTAAGAAAGTCTATGATGGCGTATCTTGTCTAATTTATCAAAATGATACTCTATCTAATCCTCCTTCTACATGAACCTTTAGAATACGTCCAAGCTGAAAGGTATGAATGCAGGTTTTCAAAGAATGATATTTTTACTTAAATGTTTTAATTGTCAGTGAAATTATCTTTATAATTATCTTTTAGTTATTTTTTATAAACAAATCAGTTATAACAGTTCTCCACCATGGCCGTTTTACAATTTTTTTCGAGTAAATTCCACTCTTATATATTCTATTCTCTTGGGGTATTAGGGGAGGGTCAGCCAAAATGAATTTATTCGATAAACCTCTTATTTATGTCAAATAAGGCTTGGCCGCCAAGAAATTTTATTTTCTTATTTTTTTATTTTTTAAATGTTATGTTTTAGTTAAGAATTTCGACCGAAACCCCGCTATTTCATTGAAAAATCTTAAAATACGATTTTTCAACACTGACTAAATCAAGAATTTGGGGTGCTGCTGGAGCCCCTAAATCTTTTCAATATGACTGTTAGAATCTATTTATATATTTAGACTATTCTGAAACCCCTGTGCTTTCTTGTGCTTTTACTATAAAATATATATGTAACATATATACTCGCTGTAACAAAGACGATATCTAAATATATTGCGGGTTTACAGGATCCATTCAAGGATAAATTTATGAACGGGAAAAGTAATTATAAATTGAAATTATTAAAAATCAATGCAAGCTACAATTCATACAATGTTTGTAAAGGAAAGATTATCAGAATATATTTATTTGTCCATTCTCAACATCAAACACAAGGCAAATGCATTTTAAGAGGAGTATTGTAATTTTAAAAATAAAATATACGTTCAAAGAATAATTTTAAAATGTTTATTTTTTTGGTTCCTGATTCCTAAACCTCAATTTACTCAATTTTCTCTAATATTCATAATTTTAAACTAGATACAATTTTCATGCTATTGAACATTTCTGATCCAATAATTTATACTGGTTTCCTTACCTTCTATATCTTTGCAACCCGATGTCGTAGACCTGTGATATTTCAAATTGTACATCTGTATTTTAAATAAGCTAAGTTTGAAATATCAAAGGTTTACCCAATCAGGTTGCAAAGATATTGGGATTAGAAAATTTGAGTGTGTAGCAAAAACTCAATTTATTTTATAAAAATGTATGCAATTCATTGGTTGAATAATTTAGTGTAAACTACAGCAATCATCAGTTCTTCAATGTATTCTGTGATCTTCAAAACTCTAGACTGTTCTCAGCAGGTATACTCGGTATCTTTAGTATCTTAAAGGAACTGCAAAGAAGAATTGCAAGTGAACCTCAATGCAAAAAATACAATGCCCGATTAACAACGATACCCTTTAAACCTTTAACTGTTCATAGAGGACAAAGATATCCTTGTGTTTATATCTCAAATATTGTATGAATTAAACTCAGCTGACGTTACTTGTGTCCCGTGAAAATACCGTTACATTTTACGTCCAAAGTGATTTTCAACAATTCGAACGTAAATATTTATTTTCTGTAACTTTTAGAAAGCAAATATTAATATTTGTTAGATATAAAACAGCTTGCAAAGAAAAGCGTTTTTTGATTAAAATAATAAGTTCTACACCGTTGATCAGTCAAAATGTTAAAGGGTACTATTATGAATTGGACACGACACTCTACTAGCGGAGGATCACTTGATATTACGCCTAAAGTCCCTTTAAATCTGTGGCAATAGCGCTCAGACGGTTCCTTTTTACCACGACGGTTTAGTCTAGTATAAGTATAAAATAACATATTTTGTTTCAGATAATGATTGTGTTATTCTTAAAGAATATAAATTATATTCAAAACTTCTCTGTGATGAAAAAATCAACACAAAACAGGTATTAATGAATTAATACATATTAAGCAAGGAAAGGAATTTTTTAAAGAGCTTAAAATAAGATATTTAGCATTTTAATTTAAAAATTATGTTTAACGTTAAAGAGTAAACGTTTCGAACAGAGGAATTACCTCTATGTCATCTTTCTTCCTTTTAATTACAAATGGATAGTTCTTTTAAAAAAAGTTACAAAACCAAATTAGATATTTCTTAACTAAAAAAGAACGACGACGACAATCATTCCATAGTTTCCGGTTAATTCAATAGCTAAACTGCATTTTATTTAAAGTTCCCCTCTCTGGTAATTATTCTGTAGGCTGGTGATTGTAACGTAAGAAGAGAGGAGAATAAGATTGGAAGCAAGGAGGAAGATGAAAGAAGAAGAAGAAGAGAAGTGAAAAGAGAATCAATGAATCCAGGGATCAGATTTTAAAATATCGAAAAAGAGGTGACCCCCCCCCCCCTACCTGAACTAACCAAATAGCCAACTGCGAGTTCCATTCTGTTTCTTTTTATTTGATTTCAATTATATTTTGGTCTATAATTCAACAACCATTAAACCAACAAGGTTGTGTTCTTTTTCTTTTTCATTTAAAACGTATATTCTGTCAAAAATTATAAAAGAGAAAAAGCAAAAATTGTATGTTTAACAGGTTAAATTGTGATGTTAAGTCACAACTTGCTGGTATGGACCGAACCATTAAATCTCGGCACAACCATTTCTCTGGAGCACTGGTTTCAGCTTTTAGGGAAGGGGTTCAAATTAGTCTGCGTAGTTCAACTACTTCTCCTATTCATTAAATCTGGTCCAAGGATTCTTGGATTTCAGTAATCGTCTCTTTCCTGGAGAATATCACAGGTTTGAGATAAATATATCAATATAAAGGGATTGTTCAGATATTAGATAAATATATCAATATAAAGGATTGTTCAGATATTAGATAAATATATCAATATAAAGGGTTTGTTCAGATATTTCAACTAAATACAAATATAAAAATATCAATATCAGAGGTTTTAGAATGTTTTAAGAGAATCCTATTTTTTTACAATGTTTTGATGAATTAGCGATTTACGAGGTTCAAAACATATGTAAAATCCCTTGATGCCATATAATCCCATGAGCATCCGATTTCTTTTGATTTATAACTATTGTATCAAGATATGCTGAAATAGAGAAATACTTGAAAAAAATGGCGGCAAAGTTTCCACAATTTTTCAGGTAAAATATAAAATTTTTTTCTCGAATCGGAGAATTCAGAGAAAAAAACAAAGCAATTTATTTTATAGTTTAGAAGATTTAGAAAGAACCCACGAGAATAGATCAATTTATTTAGTCAAAATTGGAACTTCGAGATTAGGTAATTGTAGGTTTTATTTACTTTTATAATCTTGATCATCCCCCCCCCCCCCCCCCTTTCTTTTAAATTTTATTAGGAGTGGGACATATACAACCTATATTTAACAAGAAGGATAAACCTCCAACCTATCAGCTAACGTTGGACAAAAATCCAAGAATCAGTTAAACTATGTTTAAAGCTAATCAATAGCACAATAATTATTTCATTACACTGCTGCTATAATGAAATTGAGAATGATGGGAGCATGAATGATAAATTGCACAATAGAATTATAAATTTGTTTTTAAGGTTCAGAAACTCCGACTGCTCTGGTGGATGGAGGGATGCATGCCAGAGAATGGATTACACCAGCTACAGCTCTACAGCTGATATTCAATCTTATCAGCGTATTTAAAGCTGATAAAGATAGGTAGAATACAGCGTTATAGCTGATATTTAATGTTAACAGTTTATGTATTGCTGATAAAGTTAGGTATTGGGATTAAGTTCCATAGTTGATACTTATCTGATCCGTTTATTTAAAGCTGATAAAGACAGGTAGGACTACAGCTCTACAACTGATATGTAATCTCATCAGCACATTTAAAACTGATAAAGATAGGTAGGACTACAGCTCTACAGCGGATATTCAATCTTATCAGCGTATTTATAGCTGATAAATATAGATAGGTACAATACAGCGTTATAGCTGATATTCAATCTTATCAGGGTATTTATAGCTGATAAATATAGATAGGTACAATACAGCGTTATAGCTGATATTCAATCTTATCAGCGTATTTATAGCTGATAAATATAAATAAGTACAATACAGCGTTATAGCTGATATTCGATCTTATCAGGGTATTTATAGCTGATAAATAAAGGTAGGAAGACAGCTCTACCGCTGATATTCAATTTTATTAGTGTAGAGGATGAAATCCCCGAAAGAGGATTATGAAATCCGCAAATCAGTAGTGTCGGATCTTGGAACCAGAGAAGACATACTCATGTTCCTGTGCTTTTATACACTCATTATTTAATATGTATTTATATCTAGAAGCAATAAATGTACTTCTAAATTAGTTTATTTATAGCTGATAAAGATTTGTAGGAATACAGCTTAAAAGCTAATATTTAATATTATCAGTTTTTTATAGCTGACAGGTAAAAGTAGAGCTTTGGAGCTGATATTTACCTTCTCAGCTTATTCATAGCTGATACAGAAAGGTAGGAAAACAGCTCTTTAGACGATATTCAATCTTATCAGCGCATTTAAAGCTGATAAAGAAAGTTAGGTCTGGTATACAGCTCTGGAGGTGATATATATTCTTATCATAATTTATTTTTAGCTTTTAAAAATAGATATCGTAAGAACAAAGTCGATATTCAAATTATAAATTTTTTCATATATACAATCCCTTTATCATGTTTACTCAGTTGTATGGATCCAATACAAAGTATGGATTGGTATAAAATCCCAATTAACAATCCTGTTTATTCAGTTGTATGGATCCACTACAAAGTATGGATTGGTATATAATCCCTTAATATCTTGTTTATTTAGTTGTATGGATCCACTACAGAGTATGGATTGGTATATAATCCCTTTATTAAATCCTGATGGGTATGAATACTCCCATACCTCTGACAGGTAACATTTTGCTTTTTGTTTTTAATCAAAGGTTATTAAATGTGAAAAATATTATTAATGAAGATGTTTTAATAAATCTTTTAATAATCTTGTTTTTGCGTTATTTACCTAATCGGTTTTTGAAAAAATATCAATATTTTAAAAAGTCGTCTTCAATTTTCCACAACTATTTTATGCAGAAGTAAATAGGGTTATCCACAAAAAAAAGACTAAAATCGACTTTACGAAATTTAAATAGGCTTTTTCCGTATATTCTTAGTTCCTAATATCTAGGACTTTCTTTAGGAAATATACAGGGTGTACCATGAAACATAACAGTTGGTGAATAGTGTTGAATGTCTTCTTCCATATACTGTATTAAATATTGAAGACATTTTGTGCAGTTTATTTAGTTAACAAGTCTTCTACCAAAATATATTTTATTTTGAAATTAATTTTACTATAATACGACTGTCATATACTTTTTTATTAGTCTCTTTAGTATCGAACAATTTAAAAATCATATTTCAAACTATTCTCTTTAGTATCGAACAATTTAAAAATCATATTTCAAACTATTCACCAACTTCATGTTTCGTGGGACACCCTGTATATTATTAAAAGACTTTATTTGCCATATAGCAGCAGACTTCATCCTTCATTCATCGCCATGTTTCATAACTTTTCAAACACTTTTAAAGGGACAGTAAAGTTTTTTTTTTAATGTGACCCTGCTGTAAAAAGTCACGTCCTCTTCAGTATAGTGTATTCAAATCCTGTTATCATAATATTCAACAGGCTAAGGATCTAAAATGTAAACTTGTACATACAGGGTGTCCCAATAAATATGGGAATTGAGTGACGAAAACAAAATCGTCTTTGTTAAGAAATATTAGGAAAATACCTATTTTCAATGGTTAAAATAAAGTTACGTATGCATTTACTTTTCTAAAGGTTTGTTATAAAGCAAACTTATTTTATGGTAAAAGAATAACAAACAGATTTTTTGGCCGATGTTGTTTTAAAAACAGAAATTGTGTTTGAAAATTTCAAGATTTTGATGTAGAAGGAAAAGAAGTTTATTTTAGTTTAGTGTATTGTCTAGATACTGGAGAAAGAATATGCGCCCTGCTCCGTTAGGTTCGGATTGTCCTGGAGTAGATATCAATCGAAACTTCCCGCTTGGATACGGACTTGGAGCTGATTCTAATCCGTGCTCGGAGGTACAGGGTGTCCCACGAACCATGACAGTATGCAAGACGACTTAAATGTCGTCTTGATTTTTGATATAATTTGCTGCATTTATTTGTCAACCTAATTTTAGAAGTAAATTTCTAGAGATAATGATCACAAAATTCCCCTAGTCCTGCCATTTCCAATATGTGGTCTGCATTTTTGTGCTTTCAATATTGCCCGAGATTTGAACAATTTTCGTTCAGATTTCGACAATTTTGCTTTTATTTAACAAAATTGAAATCTGAACCAAACTTGTAGTTCAATTCAAAGCTACAAATATCAAAATGTATCCCTCTGTATAGTTAATTCTGTATTACTCCTGTGTAGTTTCCTGAGACTATTACCCTTTTGTAGTCCACTGTAGTCCCGATTCAAGGACTATATTTTATAATGTATTCCTCTGTTTATTTAGTTCTGTATTACTCTCTAAAGTCCTGAGTAGTCTCCTCAAGACATACCAAACACTTACATAATGCATATAGCTCTTTAATTGTTTATCAAGTAGGGTCGGGAAGGGGGGTAAGATTTTAGATAAAAGGGAAATACTAAGGTAAAATTTGAAAATAAATAGCCAAGAAAATGTTTAGCTTCTTTTAAGGTGAAATCACCAACACACCTGTTCCTATTCCAGTTGGGAATATTTTTTTTATGACAAAATGACAAACTTATTGGTCAAACTTTGCAGAGAAAACTTCTTTAGAAATTATAACAGAAAGACTAAATTTGAATATTAAATATTCAGGATTTATTACTTTTCAAATTTTGGTTTAAAACAAAATAAAATGATGCCAGCAAACCCATTTATTTAGTTTTGTTAATTTTAGTATTTAGAGTGAAGCAAGATAAACTGCAACTTTTAACCAAGTTTTTAAAATTTGTTTTATTCTTAATTTTGTTGATCCTTGTTCTCTAGGTGTACATGGGAACTGAGGCTTTATCTGAACCTGAATCAAAATCCTTGTTTAATATTGTGCACAGGTTGTTTTATTGTCAAAAATTAGAAAATTGATAGTATTTTATTATTTTGTTATTTTTTGTGCTTTTTTAGGTATATTTAGTGTTATCATTATTATTACTATTATCATTATCATTAATATTAATTTATTAAATATTATTATTTTTATTATTATTATCATTATTATTATTTTCATTATAATTTTTGATAGCCGGACGTTTGACCTTCTTGTGTTGGCGGCAAATTACTGAAACTGCAGTCAGGGTTGCTTTTTTAAATATAACATAATTTCTTCAATATTAGTGTTCATACGAAATGAACTTAAAATTACAGTAATGAATAACACTAATAATTTGACAAATGTGACAAAAAATATTATTTATTATTTGTAATTAAATAATTTAAATTGCATACATCAAAATAATTAACAATTAGTTTAAATCGAATATTTCTTTCAAGAATTCTTGCCGATTGAGATGGCTGCGGATCAGTGTAGGTCTTGTCTTTGAGCTCTTTGAAAAGTAGTTTAACCAATGTGTCTTCTCATCTAAGACCTAAAAAGGACTTCCCTGCAGTCTGTATTCCAGGCTGATCAGCTTTAAAACTTCTAACTAAACCATCGTTCAGTTTGGTTGTTTGTGGTGGGTTCATTATAAAAAATTTCATCTCAGACATTCCAAATTTCTAAAGGAAGCCTCGGGGGTTTACTGAAGCTTTTGGTTCCCTTTCCAATGTAAGTGTTTTCAAAATAATTCTTTGTACTGAAACAAATCTCCATCCTGGAGAATATTTTTTTCGCATTGTCCGAAAACACAACAGCCTATATTTCTTCATGACAATTATTGAAAAACTAGATATGTGTAAAATTTTTATCAACCACTGTACACTGTACATTTGTTTAATGTATACAGTACATATCCAATTTAAATTGATTTTTTGTGGGTTTTTTTTAAATATGCAAGTCTCGGCAAACCCTATCCCAACATAAAATATGTTAGTTTCAGCAAGTTACCAGAACTGTAAAATCAAGCATTTGCCGCCAAGACAAGAAGGTGAAACGTCCGGCTATCATAATTTTTATCATTATTTTCACATTTATTATTATTATTATTATTATTATTATTATTATTATTATTATTATTATTATTATCATTATTGTTACTATTTTTAAGGTTGAATAAAACTCTTGTTTTCTACACATCTTTGCACGCTTTTGGGCAGTCTTGGCTTATGCCTTACGGATATATTGCTGATAGGTAACATCTATAGTAATATCTTTATTAAACAAGTAGTTTCCAGCATTTATTGGTGCTACTTCCACTCCAAGCCTATCACACGGTAGAACCCAATACAATTGTGGAATAGGAACGTTTAATTGATCACGCAAATAGTTTTACCTGTAGCTTGTAAATCAAACTGTTCAGTAAAACGGGTCAATGCACATTGTACACTTGCAAATTGCAAATGGCCGTGTTTGATGTTCTTTGTGCTTTGACGGTTTATACATATCAAATCTTCATGTTTAACTCAAATATTTAGGATTCCTGAGTATGAGAGGTTTGAATGGTTAGCTAAACAATCTTTTAAACAGATGGATTGCAGATTCGGGGAACAGGTTCCTAGCAGGTATACGTGTAGTTAGGTAGGTAGGTAACTAGGTTCTTAGGTAGGAAGGTAGGTTTCTACCTACCTAGATATAAATGAGATGTAAATAGATAGGTGTGTAGGTAGGTATGAAGATAGGTATAGGTAGGAAAATAGGGGGTAGGAGATGGTACAGTGAAACCCATAATAACGAATACATAAGAAGAATTTATCAAATGTTGTCTTGACAATTTTTCAATTAGTTTTATACTATATTACGTAAATTTCTGTATTTGCGAAAATAGCCATGAATATGCGGGAATAGTTTTAAAGAGTTCCATATAATCATTTAATTAAAAAACTAAATATCTGCAACATTTTATTATCAGAAAGTTAAGAATACGACTTTTGATGAATTCTTTCAATGTATTCGTTATTAGGGTTTCACTGTAGGTAGATTGGTAGGTTGGAAGGTAGGTAGAAAGGTAGGTTAGTAGGTAGGTAGGAGGTAGATAAATATGTAGCTTGGTAGTTAGGGTAGGAAGGTAAGGAGGTAGTTGGGCAGATGGGATGCAGGTAGGGAGGTAGGTACTTAAGTAAGAAAGTAGGTAAGTATAAAAGTAAGTAGTTAAACAGTTAGACTTTCACAATCACAAAATATTTTTTTTTTTGTTAGGTGTACTTAAGGTTGTATCTGAAGTTTAGCATGCAGATACAATACATGATAAATAACATGTGTAATAGATATACGAGGAGTTGATAAGATAACTATGGCTTTAAAGAACCGACCAAGCCATGAATAAAAGTATTAAAAACTCATTATCACCCCCCCCCCTCTCCATTCTACCCCTTCTCCTACCACTGTACCCATTAATGAACTATTGTTAAGAGAATGGGAGGTGGGCGGCGCTGCTGAGATTTATTATATAGGTGCAGTTTAGTTATTTAAAACATTGCATTTGAAGTTTAAATATTACTCCAAGCTGACAACTTTTAAATGATGAAAAGAAATTAAAATTGAACGATAAATATCGAACCAAGGATAGATCAGTAAAAATTAACCGCTCAAATCTTGAAATTTTGTCCAACGCGAAAAAGTTTAATGTTATAGGGGTTGGGACATATTCTAGACAAAGAAGATTTGTAAAGTTAAGTTCCATTTTCTAAAATGTTCTTCCTTAAAAATATAATATATCTACAATATATATACACTGTTATTTTTACGATGTAAGAAAACATATTTTCTTTTGTCCACAAATTGTTTTATAAAATGTCCTATCTATGAATATCTTGTACGTCTATAAAATCTCTCTCTATGAAATGTCTTTTTATTAAATATCACGACACTCCCTGTTAGAGAAAAAAAGTTTATTAAAACTTTTCAGATTGGGTAACATGATTTTTTATATTTGTGTTATGTGTGAATTTATAAATTAGTAATTTTCAATTAATTTAATGAAATCTTGTGGGGATCTACCTTTTATTAAAAATATTGAATTCAAATGTTAAAACATTTATTTAGCTGGAGGAGCCAGTGATGACTGGGTATACAACATAACAGGTAAATATGTTCAAGGAAGGCTCGGTGCGTAGCTTGGCGGAGGGGGGGATAGATAAAACTCCTATTATTGAGGGTTAGGTTAGGTTAAGACTATTTCTGGGCCGAGCGCTGCGGCTAGGATGGGCTAGGGGGCCGAGCGCTGCGGCTAGCACAGGCTAGGGGGCCGAGCGCCGCGGCTAGGACAGGCTAGGGGGCCGGCGCTGCGGCCAACTAATCAATTTAGGAGTTTTATCTATCCCCCCCTCCGCCAAGCTACGCACCACGCCTTCAAGGAATGTGACCCATGTATGGACAATAAGCAACTAGCTTAAATGAAAAGGTATTCCCCTGGGCTGTTTTTAATTCAGAGGTCAGAATTTTTGTTTTGTAGTATTGTTAATCCTAAACATTTGATCTCGATATTCAATTCTAATTTTGAGGATAAATACTTGATTCCTTAATAAATGTCATCTATACAAGGTATAAAGTGGATTTATATAAATTCGTAGGTCTGCATAATAGTTTATGGGTTTCTTTGATCTAATGATATTATATGGTAGTTGTACAGTTGAATAATGATAAATAAATCTATATAAACTATATTAGTTTAATTACAATTTTAAGTTATAATGACCTTTAATTAAACAATATATGATGCAAAGGAGTCAAGTCTTTGCCACAAACTCTGATTTTCTAATTCCTAATCCCTAATCTCAACGCTTTACACAATCAAGTTGCTATGATTCAGTGACTGTAGAGTTTGAGGTTATGGCAAAGACTCTATTCCTTTAAATAATACATTTTCTGTTTTTACAATAAATGTGTGTAGAAATATGTCCCAGTTTTAAGAACTTTTTGTAAAATTTCGTTATTTAGAAAATAATGAATTCAATCATGTTAAAGGAGCGGTTTCCTACACCATAGAGCTGCCAGATGACGGACGTTCATATGCATTCGAACTTCCAGCCTCCAGGTATAGGGTTACCCACATCAGAGGATGAGCTTTTTTTATGACGACCTGAAAATCTTAAAATATAACACTATAATGGTTACATTTGGTTTCAAATAAAGTCTTTTACTTAATTAAAAGGCAAACCCAGCAGAAAACCAAGATTGTAAGAAAAATGACTGAATGTATTCCGAACACTTGTCTGTGAAGTCCTACCCTTCGAGGGCAACCTTGTATCAGAGCTGATAAATCTGTATATATTAATATATTTATATATTTATAAAGGAATTGAGTTTTTGACACAAACTCAAATTTTCTTATCCCTATTACTATACAACCTAATGGTGTAAACCTTTGATATTTCAAACTTAAACTATTTGATCTAACAGATTTCATAGTTTGAAATGTCGAAGGTCTACGACATAGGGTTGCAAAGATATAGGGATTATTAAATCATAGTTTATGGCAAAGACTCGATTCCTTTGTTATATAAAAATTTATATTTATTAAAGTCCATCAATGCTTTAAGAAAAATGTACAGTGCAACAAAGAATAAATGTCGACATGAAAATCTTGAAAATCAACATTTAAAATCTAAACTTGCAACTATAAACGAGCGTCCTATATTATAGATATATATATACAAAATAAAATACATCCATATGTATTCATAATTTTTATTCATTTTAAATATTTCAGCGTCGAGGAAGTGTCCACTGATATTTGGAATGCGCTCAGGTACAGGAGTTGAGTCTTTGCCAGTAACTCAGATTTTCAAATCCCTATTTTTTTAACCTGATGATGTAAACCTTTGATATTTCAAACTATTTTATCTGTTCTATAACAAAATTCATAGTTTGAAAAATCTAAGGTCTATGAAATTGGGTTGCAAAGATAAAATATATATAAAAAATCAGAGTTTGTGACAAAAACTCAATTTCTTTTAAATATTTGTTAAAAAATATTTTTTTTATTAATTTGAAATAATTTAGACACCTGGCCTTGAATATTCTGTCTGGAAAATAAAAGTTCAGTTTTCTTCACCTTGAAACTGAACCAAACACTACAGACGGAACCAAGGATCCATGGGACAGAAATAACGCAGTGAGAAAAAAAGTCATATTTGCATTCGAAACTACTGGCACGAATTTGTGGCCTCGTAGCTCCTCTAGCTTTGATTCTCGTCCAAATATAAGAAAATTATTAAAAATTCAAAATTTTGTTTCCGTATTATAAATTCAAAATTTTGTTTCCGTGTTATAAATTCAAAATTTTGTTTCCGTATTATAAATTCAAAATTTTGTTTCCGTATTATAAATTCAAAATTTTGTTTCCGTATTATAAATTCAAAATTTTGCTTCCGTATTATAAATTAAAAATTTTGTTTCCGTATTATAAATTCAAAATTGTGTTTCCGTATTGTAAATTCAAAATTTTGTTCCGTATTATAAATTCAAAATTTTGTTTCCGTATTATGAATTCAAAATTTTGTTTCCGTATTATAAATTCAAATTTTTGTTTCCGTATTATAAATTCAAAATTTTACTTGTACTTTTCACCAGCTCTTTAAGAAGAGGAAATACAATTTAAAACATGCAGCTTATTTTAATCTAACGTCAAATTTGTCTTAATTTGACGTAAAAATCACATTAAAAAAATAAAAATGTTCTTCAAATTTAATCTGAAGATACAGATGAAGCTATTGATGAAGCCTCTTTAGTAAAAGTAAATTCAACCTATTTGAAGCATAAAGTCAAACTTGTTGCAGCGGCTAGTCCTGTCCATAGAGCTATGGTACAGTACAATCCGAAGTTTCTAAATTATCTCTATCTGATGTTTCTGCTTTATTCAATCCGATGTTTCTGCTTTTAATTCTATTCGAAGTTTCATCTTTTATTTCTATCCGATGTTTTTGCTTTTAATTCTATTCGATGTTTCATCTTTTATTTCTATCCGAAGTTTCTAACTTTATTTCTATCCGATTTTTCTGCATTTATTTCTATCCGACGTTTTAACGTTTATTCTGTCTGAAGTTTCTACTTTTTTTGCATCCAATATTTATACTTGCATTATTTACCCGATGTTTATGATATTTTTATTTCTATTCTATGTTTCAGCCAGAATCCCTAAAATAACTGTCTTTGCATCTACCAAGCAACGCAGTGCAAATCTTATATAAAATACTAAGAAATAACGTTATAAAGAATATCAGAAACGTTCTCTTTGCATATAGTAATGGAACAAAGCTTGGTACATTTTTTAAACACCTTTAATGTTTTCATTCCACAAAAATCTAAGAAGTTCTACTCATAATAGCTTATCCTCACGCACCTCTACCCCTTGTAGTAAAAGTAAATTCAACCTATATGAAGCATAAAATCTGACCGTGTCAACCTTGTTGCACCGGCTAGTCCTTTCCATAGAGCTAGGTACAGTACAAACTGGGACCGGAAAGGTTGACCCGGCTCGGAAATTCCAAATGTACTTTAACGGCTGCTTGTGTTCTACAATTTCCTTTCTTACACTTTGCAAATTTTTTATCCTGAAAGAAAATATAGGCAAAATAAAGGCAAAATTTAGGCAAAGTATTGGCAAAAAACGACCCTTCATGTTTAGTTTTTCCTTTATAGTTTCTCGTAGAATAAAAATTTTGCAAAGTTTAATAAAAGAAACTTTTACAAAAAATGTTTATAAAAGTTTATATTATTTGTGTGGTGCCTTTTATTAGCTAAAAACCTCAAAAACGAACCAAACAACAGATGCTGCACACTCTAACTGTACAGTGAACATGTTTTGTACAACAATGTACACTGTGCACTGTACTGTGTACACTGTACAGTGAACGTGTTATGTACAACAAAGTACACTGTGCACTGCACTGTGTACACTGTACAGTGAACATGTTATGTACAACAGTGTACACTGTGCACTGTACTGTGTACACTGTACAGTGAACATGTTATGTACAACAATGTACACTGTGCACTGTACTATGTACACTGTACAGTGAAAGAACAAAAATATCTTTTGATTAACTTGTTCTACAAGAGTGTAGTCAGCTAATTCCAAACCTTATATAGTTTTACCCTGTCACAAACTCTTTATTCTCATTAAAGCCTATTCTTGTTATTTGGGAATTGGTTTGAATGCATGAATGTACGTAATATAATTTGATGATAGTGAATTATATGATTAAACCATCTTGGGAGCCCAGCTTTGCATTGATAATAGGTTTTCTTTATAAAAGTCAACTTACTTAACTTAGAATTTTTAGGTCAAGCTAAGAACATTCCCGTGGTTCTCCCAAGTCCCCAATGCAAATCGGTTCAGGGGTTTCTGAGTTTTGATCGGACATCCAAACAAACAACAGACAAATAGTGATTTCTACTTTATATATGTAAGATGCAAATTGTAAGTCGAGTTTCGTTAAAAATTAGACGTTCATAAAAATTTAGGTTTAAATTCTGAATTTCAGAGTAATTTTACAATTTCTTAATGTGTAAGAATTTAAATTTTGATTTAATTGTTATATAAGTTCTATTGAATTAGGAATTGGGCTTTTTTTTGCCCCTCTTCTTAGAATATACCAAACCATACCTAGAACATTTTCCCCATCACATACTATCCCCCTCCCCTCGAAAAAAAAGCTTGACTTGTTGCAACAACGGACTTTTTGTACTTTAATTTAAAATTTCTGCCTTGTAATACCATCCCAGCTGATTCGGGCAGTAGATGTCGTCGTCGTGAGGACGGAGTACAAGTAACGGTAAGAAGTTACGGTTCTCTGTGTCTGGAGTTTAAACCCTCCACTGCTCCCTAAGCTCGACGGAATATATTAAACCATATCACAGGCATACTTCCAACCTGCAGGCCTAGGCACTAGACATCCAAATGACCTCCCAGACTGAATGTAGAACTGACTTAATTCCTTTACATACCTGTATGTTTTTATGTCTGAATATATGTATGCTTTCATGGTTGTATATCTTTATGATTTTATGATTTTATTATTTTATGTCTGTATATCAGTATGTCAGTACACCTGTATGCCTGCATGTCTGTTGTCTGAATGCATGCATTTATGCCTACCTGCCTGTATGTCTGTATGTCGTTATGCCTGTCAATCAACATGCCTGTATGTCTTTATTTCGTTATTGCCTGTATGTCTGTATAGTGTATACCTGTATGCCTGTGTGCCAGCACGCCAGTATGCCAGTTTGTCAGTTTGCCAGTTTTCTAGTTCGCCAGTTTGCCAGCATGCCAGTATGCTTGAATGCCTGTATACATGTATGTCTGTATGAATGTCTGGGTTTTATCTGTACGCTTGATATGAACTCTATATATATTAGTTTTGACATATTCGTGATTTGATGCAAGATTGAATCCAGTCATTTATCTATCTATTCGTCAATCTAATATAATGCAGTGAATATTATTTGTTCCATGGTCATTCAAATGTATTTGTTTTTACCTGTGAAAGTAAAATATATGAGAAACTAGTTTTTTTATTTAGAAAAAGTATTTTAGATTTATTATATATTATAACTAAACATTATTTATCTATATTTAAAATATTTTTTTTTATGAAACTATTGTGTACTTTATCATTCTTCCTCAAAATTCATCGTGAATTTCATAATGAACTTTATATTTTGACTTCTGCTTTGTTTAAAAGGTTGTTTGATCTAGAAATAGCCATTGAAATAAGACAAGTACACAAACGTTTCATAAGATTGCCTATAACACTATTATTTTGGCACGACGTGCTATAAAGTTTTTGGACTTAAATTTACTCTATATCTCGAAGGTTCAAGTCTTTTTAGATTATATTTTGTCCCTCGCTAAAGCTCGGGACAAAATTAAATCTAAAAAGACTTGAACCTTCTCGACAAAGAGAAGATTTCTGTCCAAAAACTTTATAGCACTGCGAACCAAAATAACAGTGTTATAAATAGTTAATTTGATTTTATTAATTCGGGGTATATTTGAGATTTTTGGTTTTAAATTTGGTAAAATTACTTGAACTTTTGGGTTTTATATTTTGAAAAAAGTATTTTAAATTTGGGTTTTATATAAGGGAAAAATATTCGGTATTTGGGTTTAAAAAAAAGTATTCGGAATTTGAGTTGTATATTCGGGGAAAATATGAAGGATTTGGGTTTTATATTTGGGAAAAGTATTCATTATTTGGGTTTTATATTTGGGAATTGGTTTGAATGCATGAATGTACGTATATATAAAGTACCGTTAGAAACCATCAAATCCGTGTATACTGTATAAGACTATAGGAGTACCCCACTGGATAAGTAAACGTCCCAACTTGTGCCGGGGGAGGGAGGGGGGGGGCGGGGGATGTCTTTTGTCTATAACAGTATTGACATTTAAGATCTAGTAAAAGAAAAGTCATTAAATTTAATGGTTAGGACATATACAGGCATGCATCTATCATTTTTCTAAACTTATACTCGTTAACAGATATTTGTGCATAAAAACTAAACTTATACTTGTTAACAGATGTGCATAAAAATTTCAATGTTCAAACCACTAAAATGCTATGCTTAAAGGGACTTTCGATGTAGTTTCAAGTTAACCACCATTTAAAGAATCCACAACGGTATACATATCCTTTTCTTTCTCTACGTAAAATGATATGGGTTTGATAGCGCTGTTGCGAGAAAAATCGGGTTTTATTTTAATATCGTTGAACATTCTTCATTACTATTTTTAGTTTAATCTTTATCAATATCAAATATTAAATCGTCAAAGTTCTGGAAAATGTTTAAAGAATTAACGAAAAGAACTGAACAATTGCCAACAATTCTAATTTTCTAATCACTATATCTTTGCAACTTGATGTCTGTTGATCTTAGATTTGTTCAAACTTGAATTCTAGTTTACACCATCATACTGCAGCCTGAAGCGATTGGGATAAGAAAATTTGAGCTTGTTCCGAGTGTTCAGTTCCTTTAAGAGAAACCCGGATCTCATTGCTGACCAAAGAGTGGCCGACCGTGCTAATTTTATCATACAAATTCCCAACTTGAAGTTTTTTAGGAACCATTAGCTGTCTTGTTAGTTAAAATCAAGGTACTAATGCAAGGAAAGTTAATTGCGGTCTCGTATACTCTGCGTACATATTGAAACCAGTTCTCTCTAGGCGGAATTTGTAAACAAGAAAAGATGCATCCGTGTTCGTTCAGTATCCAAGGAGGTTAAAAGCATTTAATTTTGATAATTTTGAAAATTCACATAATAGTTTAATTCCTATGACCAGAATATTTCATAGATTATTTTTGTGAAAATGGATTCCATGTCAGGCTGTGACATCTGTCTTGTGTTTACTTTTCCGCAAAAAGACAGTACATTGCAGTACAAAAAATGCGTAACATCTGAAATAACTTTCCTTGCATTAGTACCTTGGATAAAATTGAATTAATATAAATGCATAATGACAAAATTTCTTGGTTGAAAAGGCAAGAAAGGAAGATTCGGATTTTTATCTCGAATTTTCCCACGATTTTGTAATTTGTTTGTTGCTGTTCATACTCCCAGAGTTCAAATTGGTTTACAATAACGGGGACTTATTATATCAGGGACGGATCATTAATATCAGACAATTTACATATTGGATTGGATTTACTTCTGCAAGTCAAAAACTGTTTTATTGTAGCTCCATGAATTTTGGGGTTAAAATCCTGTATTTCTGACTCCATGAATAGTGGTTTCAGAGGTGGATTTAGGGGTCTGAAACTTGTGACAATACAATATGAAGAAACTTGGTTGGTTGGATTGNAACGTTATGATATATAGTGCCTTATTTTGGAGACCTTAATTTAATGAAGAAGTCTTCAAAGATCATTTTTTGTAGAAAAAAATTAAACTACATTATCATTATTGTAAGTGCGAAAATCACATTAAGCTAATTTTGGATTTATTACCTGGTTTTGCTTTTGGAACATCTTAAGATTCCAACTCTGAAACAGTTTCAATGTACTTTCCTAGCTGCCACCCTAAACTCCCTTCTATACCGTAGCTAAATATATAGAGCAGAACCTTCAACCGTTTATTTATCTATTCTTCCATTTATGGAAATATAATCCGAGAAACCATGATGAATATTCAGTTTATCCGTCATCTATCATCTCAAATATCGGGGGTTTAGGAGGGAAAATAGGGAAGAAAAACGGTTTCTGATTCAAAGAAAAAAAATATATCTTTTGCCCATGTTTTGTTTACTTTTTCTGTATATTGCCTTTTTTATTGTTATAATTTTTGCATTTGACTATGTAATAGTTTTGGTACTTTTCTGTAGGACTGATGAGGATATAAAAATATATCGAAATTAATTTCCAAACCCGAGATTTTCCTATCTGCGAGAGTGAAAACATTTTTTTGCCAATAAGGACAATTTACATTTAAAAAATAAAGATGATTTAAAGATGATTTAAAATATCTTTGGTGAAGTATTTTCAGAAGAATTTTGATGCATCTCCTATAACGGGTTAAATATATTAAATATATATATATTTTGTTTTTTTTTGGGGGGGGGGGGAATTGAAGACCCCATAAGTTCTAACCCATTGCTCATGCCCAAATAACACTTTATTATTCTGGGAAAGGGAAGTAATTCTAGAAAAGTAAGATTTCATTACTGATATATTTTGCATGCAAAAAAAAGAATATGCAAATATTTGCATTCATTAAAGGTTTCAGGTGAATTCTGGTTTCTGTGTTACAAATATTAGGGCTCTCTGTGACTTGGAAGGCCTGAGGAAATGATTTGCATTTTTATTTCGTATTTATTTCTACATAAACATCTCATAACTATACTTTAAGACTTTTCTTTTCGTCTAGTACAGTAAGCAGTACAAGGTATCCTCCATCTCATGTCAAACATGTCCTTATTCTCTTATCCCACCTCCCTCTCCTATCCCACCTACCTATCCTTACTCTCCTTTCCCACCTCCCTCTCCTTTCCCACCTATCCTCCCTCTCCTATCCCACCCATATCTCCTATTTTCCTATCTCTAGTTCCAGTTCCTCCTACGCCAAGATTTAATTACTTAATTATCATAACTGTGATGGTTGACCTAATCTCTTCCATAGCCAACACAGAGAATATTTAAACACAGTTCGGAATATTGTTAGGAAGGAACTCCCACGCTGTAATATATACCCATTGAAAACTGGAGTATCATGCTCTAAGTATATGTTAGTAATATATTATTAGACTTGCAAGAGCGTTCGTACAGAGGGGAAGGATGGATAAGGAAATTGGAGTGAAGAGGAAAGCTAAAATCAGAATAAAGAAATGAAGAACTAAAAAGGATGAGAAGGAAGGGGGGTGAGCTAGGATTAAGGTTGGTGTACTAGGAAGGATGAGGAGGGGGGGAGCTAGGATTAAGTTTGGTGTACTAGGAAGGATGAGGAGGGGGGAGCTAGGATTAAGTTTGGTGTACTAGGAAGGATGAGCTAGGGATTCAAACCATGTATTTTCCGAAACTATGCGGAGACCTCAGGGAATGTATGTATGTTGTGTGGGGGGGTGTTTGTGTGTGAGTGTATGTGTGTGTGTTCGAGAAGCCGGGCTGAGACGCATACCATGAATCCAGAACCCAGATTTTCAAAATTTATATTTTGTTTTTTTGAACAAAAGAGATTTTATTGGAGGGTTTATTTTAATATTTGTTTATTGCAGATGGTTGCTGTTTAGTTTTGAATAAAAAAATTATCAAAAATTTTAATAAATCTGATCAATTAGGATATTTTAAAAATGAATCTTTTAAACGCCTCGACTTTGCCCATCGTGTATTTTCCACCAGTTTACGGCGTCTACGTGAATGCGTGTATTTTGGCCTGGTAAACCATAGGTGCAGCCTATGTGTACCTGTTCCCGGTTCATGCAGTGTGATGGCAAAGTCCTAGTTTCAAGCCAGGCTGCCTGGACGGACAGGGTCTACAAGACGAGCCGGCCCATGACCAACTTACTCTCAGTCTAGGGTTGGAGCTCCGTTATGAGAGACCTGAGCGGAAGAAAATAAAGACGTCGTATTCACTAGTTTAAGGTGATCAGGGTTTATACAAAGTTAAACCAATCTTTACCCAACTACACTCAGTGATATTGTTTTTATAAAACCTGTGATATTAATTCTTCAGTTTATGCTCCCAGAAAACCGGCGCCCAGCACCTGAAAATGTTAAAGTACTAAAGGAAGAATTATTGTAGACAGAATAAAACTATTCGTACAGGTATATTGAGTTTTTAAACAACACTCTTCTATTTTTATCTGCTATAAATCTGTACTGTATATTGTAGGTCTAAAGTATTTTTAAATGTCATATATTGAAGTAACTGTCTATCTGTATATTGGCCTAGGGCAGTCTCTCTCTGCTATGCCGGGACAGGTATAAAACCAAGCCGATACCATGCACGTTATACACACATATACATTTATATATATACATTCATAGATCTTAGAACTACGTAAACAACAGTTAGCTTATATCAGGCAATTCATTGCAATATTTGTTGAAAAATTAAGATTTTAAATTAATACAAAAAGTTGTTGGCTTGAATAATTATCGACATTTTTATTTTAATTCAAATCGGAAGTAAAACATTTTTACTTTTTATTTCAGTTTCTTAAACAATCCTCTAAAGAAACTGAGTTCATGTCACAAACTCAAAATTCATGATCCCTTTATCTTTGCAACCTGGTGGAGTAAACTATTGATAATTCAAACCAGGGTAAAGAAGAATTTGTAGTCTGTATCAAAGGTTTACGATTTCGATTTTCAAAGAAATATATATTAAAATATCAGAGTTTGTGGCAAAAATCAGTTCCTTTCAAGCTGAATTATTTACAGAGCAATTTTTTTTTATTTGAAACTATGAACTTGTTTTTCGTCATCAATCTTTCTTTTTTATTAAATATCATCATCTATCAATTTTACAGATTGTTTATTTTACTATGTTGCATATCTATCTGTCTATTTTTTTAATCTATCTAGCTATTTAAGTAAATCAATTATCAGCCAAAATTCTATTATTTGTTGAGTTTAAGACTCATATCCTTCATGTGTTCATTTTAAGCCAAAAACCACTATAAAACTAAGGCCAGACAATAACTAACTTTCAAATATATGAAAACGAAATCTTTCATATAGTATTTTGTAGATTTAGACCTAAAAAATGACTCAACCCTTAGAAATATGTTTTTTTAAAGATATTTTATGAATTTAAATCCTAATTTTCCTGTTTCGAAACCGTGTTTCTCGCTGTTGTTGTGCCATGTCAAAAGTTTAAGGATCTCGGGTTTATTGAAAGGGGAGTTTAAATCAAAAGATAAAAATACGTCAAATAAATTGTTTATCTGTTTCTTCAATCTACCAAAGTTAACAATATACTTTTTATCCAACAGCATTGCACTTTTCAAATAATGGATCATGCTCTATCTTACTTCTTACAGTTGATAGTGTACTTGATTATATATGTTTTAACTTTATAGTGTACTTTTAAGCTTAAGTTGTACTTTACTCCGAACATTGTTTGTTTTATTGTACTTTTAAGCTTAAGTTGTACTTTACTCCGAACATTGTTTGTTTTATTGTACTTTTAAGCTTAACTGATTGTAAATATGGTTTACTGCAGTGTACATCTAGTTTACTGCAGTGTACATCTAGTTTACTGCATTATACATCTAGTCTAGTTTATTGCATTATACATCTAGTTTACTGCAGTATACATCTAGTTTACTGCAGTGTACATCTAGTTTACTGCAGTGTACATCTAGTTTACTGCGTTATACATCTGGATTATTGCATTATACATGTAGTTTACTACAATATGCATCTAGTTTAATGCAGTTTACATCTAGTTCACTGCAGTATACATCTAGTTTATTGCATTATACATCTAGTTTATTGCATTATACATCTAGTTTACTATAGTGTACATCTAGTTTACTACAGTGTACATCTAGTTCACTGCAGTATACATCTAGTCTAGTTTATTGCATTATGCAATATTCATCTAGTTTACTGCAGTGTACATCTAGTTTACTACAGTGTACATCTAGTTTATTGAATTATACATCTAGTTTACTGTATTGTACATCTAGTTTACTGTAGTTTACATCTAGTTTACTACAGTGTACATCTAGTTCACGCAGTATACATCTAGTTTACTATAACAGTGTACATCTAGTTTACTGCAGTGTACATCTAGTTTACTGCATTATACATCTAGTTTACTACAGTGTTTATCTAGCCCACTACAGTGTACATCTGTTTACTGCAGTGTAAATCTAATTTACTGCAATATACATCTAGTTTATTGCAGTACACACCTAGTTTACTGCAGTGTATATCTAGTTTACTACAGTGTACATCTAGTTTACTGCAGTGTACATCTAGTTTACTGCATTATATATCTAGTTTACTACAGTGTACATCTGTTTACTGCAGTGTACATCTAGTTTACTACAGTATACATCTAGTTTACTATAGTGTATATCTGGTTTACTACAGTGTACATCTAGTTTACTGGAGCTGAGTGTACATCTAGTTCACTGGAGTAGACATCTAGTCTAGTATATTGCATTATACATCTAGTTTACTGCAGTGTATCTACTTAAAGTTAACTGCCAATTGAAGAACATTAAACGATACTCTTACCTATAAACAAGATGTTTTATTTGAGTATATGCAGTATGCACCCCATTTTATAAACCTTTTCAGTCTCTAATGATCATAAATTCTTTTAACTATTCTAATTTTTATCTTTAAAATTTTTTTCCCTAATATTTCATAGCTCTCTTTTAAATCGAGTTTAATATTTCTAATTAATTAATGTGGTCCCCCTCTACCTTCCTGATTATCGAAGTTAACGAAACCACAAGAAATGCAGGATATTAACTAGGAAATTGCACACCATGTCAAAACTTACAGAGCATGAAGAACCTTAAGAGAACTTGTGAGGGTATTATCCAAACAAATAGAGCATTAGATGCACAAGGACTGCTTGAAATATCAAGTCATTGACCTGTATTCTACATTCTACATGTGATTATATAACAGCAAAATTAATTATGTGAAAGATGACTTCTTATCATTAGAGCTTTTGTTTAGTTGGGTCGATGTTACTTTTAATTATTTTAGGAAGTTCTGATTATACTGTAGTATCCTTTAATATCATCATACTAACCTTTCATCCCCCCTCCTTTACTCATGTCTTCCTCTCCCATTCAGCCCCCTGTTCCTCCAATGTATCCCCAATTTTCCCATCTCCCCATCTGTCATGCTATAATCTAAGGATTTGAGTCGAGTAACAGGTTGCCATCATTGGCTATTATCATCTTTAACTGTTATATTTACTCTTGATAAACATACACCCCCCTCTAAACACCGCCGTTTCAACTCATCTTACTTGTACCCCTATGGCGTCAATAATTTGGTAGCAACGGCTTAAACATATGGCTTGTATACTGCCTTAATCAATAGTAAAGATACAGATTAAATATATTACAGTCTACTAGACTACTAGTGTACTAATCTATTGTACTGAAGAATATTGTAAAATACTAGTTTACTAATCTATTGTATAGAAGAATATTGTAAAATACTAGTTTACTAATCTATTGTAAAGAAGAATATTGTAAATTACTAGTCTAATAATCTATTGTATAGAAGAATATTATAAAATTCTAGTCTACTAATCTATTGTATAGAAGAATATTGTAAAATACTAGTCTAATAATCTATTGTATAGAAGAATATTGTAAAATACTAGTTTACTAATCTATTGTATAGAAGAATATTGTAAAATACTAGTCTAATAATCTATTGTATAGAAGAATATTATAAAATTCTAGTCTACTAATCTATTGTATAAAAAAATATTATAAAATTCTAGTCTAATAATCTATTGTATAGAAGAATATTGTAAAATAATAATCTAATAATCTATTCGTATCTTCGAAACCCTGCATCCTTGTATCCTTGTATCCATTCAATAATTATCCTTGCATCATTTTATCCTTCTAAATTCAAATTCTTTGATTCTTGTAATTCGTGCATGCTTGTATCTATTCATTAATTCATCATTGTATCATTGCATCCACGAATACCTGTATCCTTGTATTCTAGTGTCTTTGTATCCATGTATCCTTGTATCCTTGTATCCTTGTATCCGTGTATCCTTGTATCCTTGTATCATTGTATCCTTGTATCCTTGTGTTCTTGTATCCGTGTATCCTTGTATCCTTGTATTATTGTATCATTGTATCCTTGTATTCTAGTGTCTTTGTATCCATGTATCCGTGTATCCTTGTGTCCTTGTATTCTTGTATACTTGTATCCTTGTATCCTTGAATCCTTTTATCCGTGTATCCTTGTGTCCTTGTATTCTTGTGTCCTTGTATCCTTGTATCTTTGAATCCTTGTATCCGTGTATCCATGTATCCTTGTATCATTGTATCCTTGTATCTTTTCATCCTTGTATCTCTTCATCCATGTATCCTTGTCTTATAGTACAATCTAAGCCTTTATCATTGTATCATAGTTTCACTTCACCTATCCTGTATCCTTGTATCATAGTTTCACTGCGCCTATCCTGTATCCTTGTATCATAGTTTCACTGCACCTATCCTGTATCCTTGTATCGCTTTATCGATGTAAGCCTGTAACATTTGATTATTGTATCACTGTATTTATCTAAGCCTGTATCATTTTATCGCTGTATTGGTGTCAGCTTGTATCCCTGTATCTGTGATAAATTAAAATGGCGAATATCTAAGATTCCACATTTGAATATCTAAAAGAAGAAGATCCCGGTCCAAAACTGTCCAGTGCAGTGTTTCATGTCCATGGATCCGCTCGACCTTTCTTGGTCAAATAATTTGACCTAAATTTAGAAGAATAGAATCCCAGAATCTAACTGATATTGTTTAATTCAAACTAGTTTTATTGTTTAACCAAAATATTTTGGAATTCGTATAAATTCTTAGTACTTTCGATATCTTAAATAATAAAAAAAAACAGTTTAAAAAATACAAAAAGTAGAGAAAGAAACTCGATAAAACTAGAATAATGACAAAACTTAATTACCTGGATATAAATTATTAAAAATCCTTGACACACATAAAATTAATTGTTTACTAATTAAACAATAATATTTTAAATATGTTGACCTAGTTTCTTTCATGTATTATTACTCAGAGCTAATGCATTGTGAAACACATTATTGTGAA